CTCCCCAGGAGATGCAGCTGATGCTGACGTCAACGCCAACACACCCTCTCCCTGCGGGCAAGCTGCCTCTGCTGTGGCCAACAACACACCCTGCTCCCCAGCAAAGGGGGACCACCCAAACACCCCTGCCCATGCCAGCCCTGGGGACACCAAACCAGGGACACTTGTGGCATTTCCAGGCCCTGTGTCCCCCACTCACATATTTGAAGGAGAGGACAATAGCGGTGACAATCCCAGTCACCATGAGCACGATGCCGAGCACACAGAAAAGCCCTGGACACGATGTAAAATCAACCTGCCAGAAAGAGTGCGTAAGTATGTCACAGGACAGGCCGGGGTGTCCCCAGCACCCAGCTCCCTGCTCCTGACCCCCTCGTCCCCCCAGGGCAGGGCAGGGCACATCCCCCTCCTTGCCTTAGTCTGGAAGCAGAAGATGGTGACAATGATGGCCACAATAGCGGTGATGAGCATGGCGATGAGGACGGCTTTGGTCTGGTACATGCTGCCGACAGAGGGGACACCAGAGTCACCCAGCACCTCAGCATCCCCCCGCCAGGGGGGTGTTGGTGACCTCCCCATACCCCAATCCTGTGCAAGGACCCCACTGTCCCCAGACCCAGGTGACTGGAGTCTCCCCCAGGTCCCAGCAGCCTCTAGTTGAGCCAGCTGTGTGGTTGGGGACAGGAAGAACCCCAGCTCCTGTCACTGCAGGGTCCCCAGGACGTACCTAGCAATAGTTCCCGTCATCAGCCCCATGGCCAGCGTCTGAGGGAGAGAAGGGTGGGCTCAGCAGGGTGCACAGCACCATGGGGGGCAGCAGTGCATGGCTGTCACCCGCCTGCCCACGTGTCCCCCGCACATCCCTCCCAGCCTGCCTGGGCAGCTGGGGTGCCATGAGGGCACCACCAGGCCCACCCCCTGGCCCCAGCCCACTCACAAAGATGCTCAGCAGGATGATGTTCCAGGGGAAGCGTCTCCTGCGGGACAAAGAGTGGGAGAGAGGTGAGCTGGTGACAAAGGCCACGTCGTGTCCCCCTGCTGCAAACTCCCTGGAGGCAGCCCCAAGCCAGGTCCCCCCTTCCTGATACCATGGAGACACCCCCCTTCCACCATATCCACAAGCCCATGCTCTAGGGGTCCCAGCCACCAGCAACTCACCGGGGACCCTGGCAGCAGGCCAGCACCAGGTAGGTCACCAGGAACACAGCACTGCAGAGAGAGACAGCAGGTGTCAGCCCTGCAGCCCCCCACCAGGACCACCCCACCACCACCACTGGGCAGGGAAGGAGGCTGCAATTGTGGGGTGCCAGCTGGCAGCAGGCGCAGTGTGGGGGGCACAGGCCAGCAGACCCCTACTCACTATGAGGCGTAGTAGATGGCGACATTCCTCTGGACAAAGGAGCGAACAGGGGAGCTGTGGGACAGGAGGGATAAGTGTGAGGGAGGGGTGACAGCAACTACTGTTCTCTTGGGACCTCCACCCCAGGGGACATGGGGCCAGGCTCCCTCCTTTTTTGGGGCAAGGCTAAAGAAAGACTCCACTCACACAAAGGTGAACATAGCAATGATCCCCGCTGTCACCAGCAGCTGCAGGGAGATAATGGCATAGACCTACAAGAGACAAGGGGGTCAGTACCCAACCCCCAGGCCCAACCAGTGCCTTACCACCCTGACGGGTGCCCCCGGAACCCCCCGGGATTCACCTTGCGGATGAACGTGTGCCGGACCTTCCTGTCATCCCAGTCGGCTGATTGGAAGGGGGAGCCACCTCCCATGCCATCGTCACCTGTGGTGGAGGACACCCCTCAGCACTAGGGTGGTCTTCACAGCCCCCTACAATCCCCCTGTGTCTAATGCCACCCCCCAAAAAGAAAAAACCCACACCCAAGGTGCCCTCACTTACTGAACCGAATAGGCATGGTGGGCATGGCCATCCCCGGCTGGGGGTACCCCCCTGCTGCTGGGTACCCCCCTGGCTGCACGTACCCCCCTGCTGCAGGGTAACCCCCAGGCTGTGGGTACGCCCCACCAAAGTGGGGGGGCTGGGGGTATCCCCCCGGTGGCGGTGGGTAGAGGGGGTTCTTGTCATCGTAGGGGGGAGGTGCGCTGGGCTGCGCCATGCCGGCTCCGGGCATCTCCCGTGGACACCTGCAGAGGAGACAAGATTGGGTGGGTGTCAGTGCCAGTCCCTCTCCCCAGGCAGGACACGTCCTTGGTGAGCAGAGCCACAGGTATGGGGAGCCACAAAACCTCCCACTCCCACTTTAATAGCAGCTTCTAATTAATCAGGACAAGCTGGCCTCAGTGCTGGCGGCTCAATGAGAGGCAAAGGACATTCCCACTGCCCCTTGGTCAGGGCCACCCGCATTCCTGTGCCCTGAGTCCCCAGCAGCTGCGTCAGTCGCCAGCTACAAGCAGGGCACAGCCACATGCTGACTCAAGCCTTAGCTGGGACATGACCTCTCCGGTGGGGATGTGACCTCTCTGGCCTCTGGAGCCCACCCAGCCATCACCAGGGCAGCAGAGAGCAGCCCCTCGCCACGCTCTGGCTGGTTTCCAGCTCCTGGTGGCACCGCCCTGGGGACAAAGTACATCGCCTCTCCTGCTGCCTGGGGATGGAAGCACAGGGCCCGATTCTGATCGCACCCATGCAGACCCCAGCGCCCCAGCCTCACATTTTGGAGGTGCCCCCCACCCAGCAGGTCACACGGGCACTTCACAACTCCCGAGTCTCCCCAGGGAATTATAGGGACAAGTTATAAGGACATCCACATCACCTCGGAAGGAGGTGGATGGAAGCCTAGAGAAGGAGGCCGGGACCCCCCAGGGACTAAGCTCCCCTCCCCATCTGTGCTGGGCCCCCTCGCAGAGGCCCCAGCAGCTGCGAGCAGCCAGCCCAGGCCCAGGGCCAGCTGCCGGGCTTGGGCCCAGAAGGAGGAGGAGAAGGAGGAAGGCAGGATCTCCAAGGCCAACAAAACAATGGTGCTGCCAGGAGCCGGCGCCAGGCCTTTACCCGCCTGCCGCCCCCCCCCAGCGCTAGCACTGGGAAACACCCACCCCGAGCCCCAGGCAGGTGCCAGGAACCCCCACGTTCCCCCTGCCCAAAGCTGTGACGTGACCCTCAAAGGGACCAGGATCTGATCCCACCCGGTCTAGGCTGGGAGGGGACCAGGCACTTCCTTAAGCATGACGCCTGCGCTTCCCAGAGCTGGGCTGGGCAGGCAGTGGTGCCAGGCTGGGGGGGCCACACTGGGAACAGCCATGC